ACACACACACACACACACACACACACACACACACACACATACACACACCGTCCCCCCTCTTCCTTTGGGGAAGTGTTCAAACTTTCGCACACCTCTGTAAATGTTTCTTCAACTTTCCCAGCCCACAGATGTCATCTTGTGAGAACTCCCCGGCACAGAGATCTACCCAGGTTGGAGAGCGGAGACTGGAGGAGAGCAGGAGGGATAAACTTTGAGAACACCAGAGCGAGGTGTGTGTGTGTGTGTGTGTGTGCGTGTGTGTGTGTGTATGTGTGTGTGGGAGGGGGTGGGTATAGAAGCAATATTTGAAATTATAATTTGGTTTACTCCACTCACAGAGCGGCGCGGAGCCTGGAGCTCAGTGCTACTTACGGTTTACTATTTGTTATTTTCTTCTCTGTCTCTGTCTTATTACAGGGCTCTTGTGATAAATCCTGAAGGTAAATCCTTTCCAATGCTTCAAACGCTCCGCATAAAACTGTGAGTGTGTATTTGTCACGTTGACGTGTGTACGCGTTGGATTTACACAATTTGTGCATGTGCTATATTTATATTAAATGTGTGTGTGTGTGCTGCTGCAAACTCTCTGAGCCAAGTTTATTTTCTGTACTATCACTAGAGGGTAGCCGATTCTGATACAAGGCATGCATTTTTTTTGTTGGTTTAGTTTTAGATTATGTGCGTTGTTTGGGGGTTAATGATGCTTGACAAGTTGAAAACAACTTGTGAGTGGTGTTTTTTTGTAACTGAGGGGTATAAAAAAAACATAAGTGGATTAAAARGGCTTGTGAAGCAGGAGAGAGCCAGGCAAAATTAATTCGATTAAGATTTTTGTCCAGCTTTGGTTTTCTCGCTCAGAGTTCAGTTGAGGAAACATATTCCTACTTATTTACTTTTCCAAGTTTTAAACCTTCGCTGGCTGTGGCGCGTCCAACAGGAATATCTCAAGATTTATGTCGAGGTGCTGCCCAGGGCGAAGTATTAACCGAAACACATCTGTCACAGAGTGAGAAATCACAGGCTTTTTTTCTGCGGAAAATGTGAAGAAAATGTCAAATATGAAGCATAAGTAAAGGATGGAAGCAGAAAATGAAAGAAGACGCTTCCTCTGCATTTTACCCCATTATCTTTAACAGAGGTTCACTCTCATTCACACACACACATACACACACCTGCACACACACACCTACTGTAACTTTGGTCCCCATGTTTCAGGACCCTGAACACAAAGATTGATGGGCTCTTTTTTAGATTCAAGGGGAGCTGCCGGGGGCATGTAGAGCCCATGTTCTCCTTCTGCTTCTCTGCCACATTMACACTCCAACTCCAGCAGCTCCATTACTTAAATGGTGATCCAGTGGGGGGGTGGGGAGGGGGGAACCGGAAGACGATGACGAGCGAAACAAAGAGAAGTGGTTCCCGGCGCAGTTAAAAYGAGGAAACGCAAGGTCAGCGCTAACCGTTTCATTTCACGATCCTCTGGTCACTTTCAGAGGGTTTAATGATCCCTTCAGCACGTCAGGTCATCCATGTAAGTGGCTGACTTGTTGTACACGGAGCCAACGTGACCCTTCATCCTGGAACGTTCAGGATGAGGGAGTACTATGTGCAGTCAGTCTGCTGCAGCCTGCAGACATACTTTCAGCCTAATGATGAAAAGACTGTGAGAACATCTCGAATATGTGCTTTAAATTTAAACTTTATGGCTCCTATTCTCTGTGGGAACCTTTACAGCATCTCCTGCGCAATGTTTTCAGTACTTCTGTGTAGTCAAAATCTGATACTAATGTGTAAATAAAATGGTAAAGATCTGAGGGGCTAAATTGTTTAGAACAAAAAGGTGGGACAAGCAGTTCAACAGTCATCTGCAGTTTATTCAAATCATGTTAAAACCACGGGTATGTAGTTAAGGATAATTTTGAGAGTTGGCTGCAAACTGAGCTCCACGGAGGAGCTTGTACAAATAAGCGGTGCTTTGTACCAGCAAGTGTTTAGGTAGCGCCACATAGGTACCACAGGAGATTCAAGGATTTCTCAAACAAGCATAATTGAGTCATGCAGGACTGGGTATGTTTTGGATGAGGGAATGACATTAGAACATGATATAAACCTCAGAAAAGTCAATTTTGCATAATAACCCTTCCCCTTTATAAAATGCATAATATCAATAATAAGTTACTTCACAAATAAACGTAGCTCCAAACTTGATCCAGTAACTATMAGAGCTTACAGGGTGCCGACTTCTTATCCATTTAAAACTATAAACTTTTTTTCTTGTCAGCGTGCTCCAGAGTATGAGGAGGATAAGGAAAAACAGAGACCAAACAAGTCTCTGTCCAGATTTGTATGGAAACAGGCAGGTTAAAGTTCTGCAGGTGCCGTGTGTGAAAATCCAAACAAAAATAAATCTTAACTTGACAGACAGAACAAAATAGGCTGGAGCAGGAACAACCCTCATTAAAGCAGCACTGAACTAAATGTTTACTGTCATGAGGGGTTATACAGTCACTCATTTGAAACAAAATCTTTGTTAGTAACTTTCACTAAAATGTATTTTGTTGTCTTTTTTTTTTTTTTTTGGACTGCATCTACCTCCAAAACAGTGATGCTTTCAGAATATTATTTATAATGGGACATTCTGTATTCTCTCCATGTGTGTATGGGTTTTCCATGTACAGGCTGTATCAGAAAAAAAAAAGATTATCTCAGAAAAATCACCATAAAATTAACAAAGATAATAATTTTGAAAATGTGGGCGTAACCTTTGGTAGAGGGGATCATTCTGCTTCGAATGACACCAAAATCTTAGTTAACGCTTCACGCTCCAGTGAGTAGGGACAGTTGGAAATTCACAAAATTCATGTCCTTTGCGCAAGGTAATGTGAGGGTTAAAATACGATCTGTCACATCAAATTAAAATGTTGTTTTAATGAAAGAAAATGACCACACGATCCCATTATCTTGTACCAGGTAATGGAATAATTACATGTAATACCCACTGAATACATAATGTACATGTACAGTACATTACATGTAATGTTAGTTGGCTGGATTGACTTGTCCACGGCCACTTCACGTGTTTGTTAACCCTTGGTTATGATCCACACTAAAATGAGATGTTTTTGTTTCAATGTTAGGACTTGAAAGGGTTAATTATTTTAAAAACGCCTTGGCATGCACGTAAAACACCATAATTTTATGTGACAGTTCGTYTTTTAACCCTCACATTTCCTTGAGCAAAGGACATGAATTTTGTGAATTTCCAACTGGCCCTGCTCACTGGAGCGTGYAGCYTTAACTAAGATGTTGGTGTCATTCGAAGCAGAATGATTGCCTCTGCCAAAGGTTACGCCCACATTTTCAAAAGTATTACCTTTGTTAATTTTATGGRGATTTTTCTGAGAGTATCATTTTTTTCTGATCCACCCTGTACGTATATTCCTGTTTCATCTCAAGAACCAAAAACGTGAACGTTGGGAGTACCCCGCCCCTCGCACAGTGACTGCTGGATATGAGCACCAATGACTCCTGTGACCCTGAAAGGAAGAAAAAGATAAGAGATGGATAGATGAATGGGAGATTGGTTAAGATGATATTTCTTATTGAGAAAAGCACTGCCTCAACTTGTTGAAGCTTGTCCTCTCCTAAATTTATTTTTTATAAAAACACATTGTGGATAAAAACCTCCTGAGACCCTGCATACTAATGTTGAGGACATTGGTGCTAGACCGGTTGTTCTTATTTAAGGTGACTAGATTTATGATTTTTAAAAAAATTAAATAAAATACATGTTTATTTTTTCAACTCCTAATAATTCAAAACCCTTTATTGTTAGGTTTTACTAATTCTAAGCAGCTGGGGCAAATGTTTGGGCCTTAAGAGGATAAAATGGAACTTGTTGGCACCCCTGCTCTAAAAAGTGACGACACAAGTGAGGCCACAAAATCTTTAAAACCCATCAGAGAGAGAATGGAGCCACAGACATGCAGAGAAAACTCCTTTCTCTTCAGACCGCCATTTGTTCCACAGGAAGTTGATTACTGTCCCATCGGCCACCTAACAGATCAATAGCTATCTGGAATCACATGTCTCCGAGCGTGTTTGTGCGTGACTCAATGAAATTCTGCTTGTGTGTGTAATAAAACACAGTGGTCAGAGAGAGAGGGAGAGAGGTGTTCCAGTTTGACTTTAGTTGTCGCTGCTCAGAGCTGTCCTTCGTGTACCTGAGACAGACGGGAACATGAGTGACAAGGAGGGAGGAGAGGGATTTGCGTTTGTGATCAGAGCTTTGACACCGGTGAATTTAATTAATGCAGAGGCCCATTTTTGTGTCGGCGTGTGTGTGTGTGTGTGTTCCCCTTTCTGCCTGCCTGCAGGCAGAGTGCTGCCACTGTCAATAGTTTGTCCTTCATCAGCCAGCTCAAGGTTGACCAATAACCACTGTAGCACATGCACATAACCATTTCCTCTTTCTCTTCTTCTCATTCTCATTTGTCTTAATTTTTTACACATCTGGAAACAATCCTTCCCATCCATCTATTCTTTTWAAAATTTTTTACACATTTGTTGCAGTTATTTCATTCATTTCATGATTTACTGTATAATGACAGCGCTCCATCTTGATTACAGGTTGTCAAAGTCCTCGCTGGACCACTAGTGGGCTCTCTGAACATCTATTTTAAAGCCTGCTGGCACCATTTACTGCCAGATCTGTCATTCATTATTAGATATAATAAGTGCATTTTCAGTTTGAATGTTTCCCGCAGCAGCCATTTGCACAGTCTGTTCTTGTGATTGACTGACCATTATTTTAATGCCAGTATGAGTCATACCAAGGTCCTTTTGTTGTAAATGGGCTAAACTAATGGGGCAGAATGTGCTCACATTTTCCTCACATTATACTCAATTTAAGTTTATTTGCAAGTGACTGGGAAAATAGACCAAATGTTTGAAGCAGCTGTTTGCGGATCCTTGTAAAGCTGTTCTGACATAAATAAACATCCATTTGGGGGCATTGTTGCCTGTTGATACAATATGAGTTTCAATAGTTGCGTAAAATGACAATCTATTCATTCGTTTGGGTCAAGCCCTCTTCTATCTGATGGAAAAATAATAATTTAAGTGCCTCTCCTTCTCCAGATGCTCCCGGATGACCCTCATGCCTACAAAAGATCGATGGTAGAGGTGTATTAAATGATTGCTTTCTGTAATATGACAACAATAACAAGGGGAAAACAACAGAAACAGTTTACTTTATAAAAAAGAGTCATTCATCGTTTTAAAAAAATAACTCTAGAAGAGTGTTTGTGAAACCCATAGGATTTATTTCACTTTTCTACAACATACAGACCCAAACATCTCTTTTTTATAACAAGAATGTTAGCAACAGAATTTAATGAAAATTTCAAAAAGTCATTTTTGGATAGGTAGGTAGGTAGGTAGGTAGGTAGGTAGGTAGGTAGGTAGGTAGGTAGGTAGGTAGGTAGGTAGGTAGGTAGGTAGGTAGGTA